TGAAGTTTGACCATTTTCCTGGATCATTGGGAGATAAGATTGTTTTGTGTGTTGTGTGCAGGTACCCATCATTAAGTATTGTAGGGTAATTCCTACTGGTTCAATAAAATCTTGAAACTCAATCGAGGGAAATGCTTGTTGCTAGTCTACATCATTCCTTACACTTGGGGCTATCCAAACATTTCTATGGAAGAGCAAGCACGGCACTAGAGGTAGAAGAGAGGAAGAAGGATCACGACAAAGACGACCACCTACAGATGTCTGAGTCAGCACAATCTTTGAGTAGTGATTCATCATGTGAGGATCTATCTGAGCCATCCAATTCCATGCCAACAGTTCTATTGATTTTTTTCTATATTTTCACCGGATACCCAATTTCTATCAAAGTCGTTCCCATCTATATTACTTCAATACACCCAATGACAAAGCTTCGGTAGGGCCAAGGCACAATAGCCCAAAGAATGGCGACAAAATACACACGATACAAAATGCCCCTTCCCCAGGTGGCTAGGAGTAGAAAGCTAGCAAAAGTGTTCTTTTCAAGAACAGGGGTATGCTTGGATCGCAAATCAACAACTTTGTCTTAACAAAGCCACTGTATGTATATGCAGCACGAGTCAAATCAAGTACTTCATGGTACGATGGGATCAAGACAGAGGTAATATATTGCCATCTTTATCCTGATGAAGGTGACATGCTTGCGGCTAGGTGAACGTGGAGAAAAGCTAATCTCCCATGCACATGAGGTACCGTGCATGCATGTGCCGTTGCTTTTGCTTGGAGATCCGATGCCATGCATTTATACTGCTCGCAAGTTAGATCTTTCTCTCACCACATGCAAGCACACTCTTCCAGCTATGCTCCATCGCATCCCTTGTTTTTCATTTTATTTCCAAGTTTAAATCTATTTTATCTTTTGAACCAAAAGTACAATTATAATCTGTTTTCATATTTGTATGTTGACGAAAAGAACTTTGAAATGAGACCACTTTTGAATTTATTTCAACAAATTTTAAAACTTAAATTCCAAAACATGGTGAAAAACTATAAAAGTACATGGAACCATGCTATATTTTGTTAAACACTAGATAAGTTCAAAGTTTTGTTGCAATAAAATCTATTAATATTACAAACTTTTAGATTACTAAGAATCATTTTGATACACATTGGCACACAATGCATCATTATGATATGCAATGGAATATGGAGAGCCATGGTGAAACAATAAGATTTTTTTGTGAATCACAATGAAACGTTATTAAATTTATCGCATGGAGTTAATAAATTTGTATGGAACAAGTTGGAAGCATGGATTTAGTTGTCAAAAAATAATTTCTAAAATATATTCATTATTGGTCTTGTTTTAAAGATGTTGTCAGAGAAAACACAATCGTGCAAACAGAATGTAAATCAAACTTCTATTCAACGTGCATTAGGCATCTATTTATTCGAATGAAGGTTAGTCAGTAGATAATAACATGCGAATGTATGTTAGATGAGAGTGAGAAAACACTATAGCAGCGGTCCCACACAACAATAGAAAAATATGATGGATGCATGACACTTATATTGTCCTTCACATGGCTATTAATCTATACCTAATAATAAAAGGAGCAGTGCGTCTGACCGTCCATCATCAAATTATCCTCGAAATTGGCAAGAATTACCCACCAATGCCATCCATAAGTGACAAAAAATGATTCCTTTTTCCATAAATTCGTTGCCCGTCGTCTTTTGTTCATGTATATCGCTGTCGCTTCAAATCCCACAAGCGCACAAGCACCCGAGTGGCTGGAGCCTTCGCCTTCCACTTGGAGACCCAAGTTTGGACCCCCGCCCCCCTCTTCATCTTTTCTATCTTTTCTCCTTGATTTCAGGTTAACGTAAGATAGAGCTGCTTCGCCCAAGTGTCATCTTAGTCGATGGGCTGGACATTGTTGCAATTTTTGCCCAGTTATTTTCTTTTGAACCTTTTTTGGCGGATTCAAATATTCATATCTTTCAAACCCTAACTTCAAATTTAGAATGTTATATACAAAAATAGCTCAGAAAAATGTGTAGATTCCAAATATGATATTCTCTTTCATGTTAACCGTGTCTAAAATTATGTCTGTGATGCACCTTAATTAATACCTTTCTTTATATGGGGTATTTTAAAATGTATGCTTGTTATGCATGTCCTTACGGATTGATTGTTTTTGATGCAGATATCTAATATGTTTGCAACCAAATTAAGTATTGACTTGGAATACAGTTGCAAACACATATATCAGCAAGACAGAAATAATGCTCTTAATTATGCACATGCTATCATTGAGTACTAAAGTGTACTTTGTTATTTTCAGTCTAATGCACTATTTGTTCGGTATGATTGAGGAGGAACGCAACAAAAACATGAATTGATACCAGCAACTAGGTAGATATTTTTGTTGTCTAATAAACTGGACACAACTTCATTACACTTAAAAAAACCGTCCCACTTTTATGTTTGTGCACAACACCACTTATCATGTTGTTTCTCAAAGGCACCGTGAAAGATTTCAAGTGATTTGCTGGTGTCGTCGAGTGTGTGTATGAGGAGCGATTTTTTTTCTCCCGTTGCAACGGGGCGTAGCCATCTTCTTCTCTTCCATCACCGTAGTACCCGCAATCTTGTCCTCATTGTCTTTGTCAAGAACGATGGGTCTTGCACGGCCGCCTGCCGCCGACGCCCTGGCCACCATCTGCACCGTGTCGTTGTCATCCTCCCGCGACACCAATGTCCTAGTGCAGTACGCTGTGACGCGCTGGTCTTGAGGCGCCTTGTACTCCGTGTACTTGGCCATGGATTAATCACATCAAATAATACGAACACACATGCACACGAAAACTTTCACCAAAGGCGCGTGTCGTGCCTCTCTTTTTTTCTCTTTTTTTATTTTTCTCCTTTTCTCTCGCTGTACAAACTCACACAACTGGTTGTGCATAAACACCACCAATAACTTCCATGCTAAAAAAATACCAATATAGAAAAACTAAGAGAAAGAGCAAACAATCACACTTGGCTAAGCACACACACTAATTAAGGTTTATTAATGATCACTAGTAATGGTTAGAGTATCACACTATAGTCATATAGTCATGTGTTGTGGCGTCATGCCATATACTCCCTCCGTCCGGAAATACTTGTCATCAAAATGGATAAAAGGAGATGTATCTAGACGTATTTTAATTCTACATACATCATGTTTTATTCATTTTGATGACAAGTACTTTCGGACGGAGGGAGTACCTTTTTTTAGCGCTTTTGGGTCATGCCATATAACTTTTGGGATGACTTTTGAATCCCATAGAGCTTGCTCAAAGATAATGGGATAATGGCGGAGTGTCAGAGGGACTATACTGGGCCATGACCCGATCTTTCTAGCGTATATGGACCGTCATTATGCAGGGTGCCCCTATATCTTGCCTTCAGCGGGTCTATAGCTTCTGACCCGTTGAAGGGGTCAGTGAAATGGGTTGGCCCTCATGTGCGGGAGGCCACAACCTTTTTTTCTGTTTTAGTTTTTTGCTTTATTTTTGTACTTTTGTTTACACTTTAAAATATTATAAATATATATATATTACAAAAAAACTGTAAAAACATTTGAAAATGTTGCACACGTATTTGGAAATTGTTGAAGAAGCATTTCAAAATTTTTAATCAAGCATTCGAAAAAATGTTGAACGTGTATAGAAAAATTGTTGATCATGTATTAAGAAATGATGAATTTTTTTATCACGTATATAAAACTTTAATCAAGCATTTGAAAAAATATGTTGAACAAGTATTTAAAAAATGTTAATTAAGAATTTGGGAAATGTTTAAATGTGTATAGAAAAACTTTTGACCATGTATTAAAAAATGATGAAGGAATTTAATCATGTAATTAAAAATTATAACCAAGGATTTGGAAAAATGTTGAAACAAGTGTTTGAAAAATGTTAAATGTGTATAGAAAAAATGTTGATCGTGTATTAAAAAATGTTAATCTTTTTATTTGGCAACTCTTAATGAAGCTTTTAATTTTTCTAAAAATGTACAGAAAATGTGATCATGTATTTAAAATGTTAATCTTGTATTTGAAAATGTTAATCAAGAATTTGATTTTTTTTATAGTGTGTGTAGGAAAAATGTTGACCATGTATAAAAAAATGTTAATCTTGTATTTGAAAAATGTTAATTGAGCATTTAAAAAGGTTTAAAATGTGTATGAAAAAAGTTGACAATCTATTTAAAAATTGTTAATCGTGTGTTTGAAAAATATTAATTGAGCATAAATAGGACGCCTCCCTATTAGTTAACACAAATTGGACTTGGGCGAAGTGGCCAGCGGCGCTTGCCAACTCGCTGGAGACCAGGGATTGATCTTGGTTCTCCCTCTTTACTGTGCTCTTTTTTTTTTTACTTTAAGTATGCCCACGCAAATGGGCTGGTCCAATTATCGTAGAAACCTAAAGCGAGACTTTCTGCCAACTCGCTTTAATGCGAAATATAGTCGACACGCTTTATGCAGAGCCTGTCACTTGTTTTTTCTTTTTTTTTTCCTATATGGCCCGTTTTGTAGCTCTAGTCCAACTGGCTCAGGCTTAGTTATGGTTTACGAAGTGCTAAAACAATTTATGGTTCACGCCTTTATAGCTAAATAAAAAAAGGTTATATTGCATTAAAAAAAGTTATGGTTCACGCCGCGTCGCTGTCACGGAGGTATTAAATGTGTTTTTGTAACACGGTTTTGTTTTGTAACGAATCGGTCTTATTCCTGTCTTATAACGGAACTCATACAGGCATAGCTCTTTTCTCCTACTTATTTCCTATCAAAAATACATTTGACTACATTCAGAATAAAATATTGAAGCAAATAGAGGAATAAGACCACATGTAGCCTTAGAGTATTGGCCTCATTCTATGTAACAAAAGATAGTCCAATAAATTCTCCTTTCTAGCTCCCACATGGTATATGGTACGAAATGCTAGAGCCTTACTGGCCTTTGTTGCTTACTTCTTCTTTTTTCTTTTGTTGCTTACTTCTTATCACAATGCCCCAGACAATAAGGCCACTCTTGGGTTTTGTTGTCTCGGTCAAGCTGATGGAGACCTCACCATCACCTCCCTCATTATGGAACTCACCAAGCTCCACCTCCATCCAACCGTCGGCTTTCTTACGTGGGAAAACAACGTTCTTTTGAGGAGGAACCTCGTCACGATTATATATACTGTAAGAACTTGGCATGATGTGTTTCCGAGGTGGAACACCGGTTCCATCACCGTCCTCGACATAGCCTTGCAGGCAAACCTGCTGGATCGACTGGGTGCCAACAACGCCAAATGAGGCTTCTTGAAACGGGAAATCGAAGCAGTAAAATCTGGGTCCTAGCTTGAACACCATGTATGCCACGTAGGTTATGTTTTGAGAGAGCATGTTTCTCTGTATCTTGGCACATATCTTGAGTATGTTAACATGGCCGATGTCAGCGGCTTGTGAGAACCTATCGAAAACATACATAGGAACATATGCATGTGATTAAATTGTGGTGGTCATGTAACGGTAAAAGGCGCAAGAGCCACTAAGTAATTAAGATGAAAGTTTTAAATAGCGGACTATAGCAAAACTTTGATTAAAACTGAATTACTAGTAAATTTGTCATGGAAGTACTCCTTCCGTTTCAAAATAAGTGTCTCAACTTTGCACTAACTTTAGTATAAAGTTATACTAAGATTGAGACACTTATTTTTAAGACGGAGGGAGTACTAAACAAAGTTGGGAACTGCATGCTCGAACCTTTTGCCTCTTTTGCTGTAGCCCGGCACTGAACCTACACGTACTAGAAGAACACCCGTGCGTTGCAACGGGGCCACATTAAATTTAAGAGTTCAATATCAATTATGTTAATATTATATTTAATATTCTCATACATATCAAGTGACATTGGCGACCTTTTTACCATCAAATTCTCACACACTCTCTCTCCCTCCGTCCTCCTCACTCTCTCTCCGCCTCTCCCTCTATCTCTCTCTAACACACACACATATCCATCTTATTGGGTACGAGACCATAATCCATCTATTTCACACGCACACGCGCTAGTGCATAACAATATGGATTATAAAACAGGTTCAAGGTAGTAACAAGGATTCTTCTCATGCATTAATAAACAAATGTTCTGCACTGAAGACAAGATAAACAATTCCCAAAATGCATCATAGCATCACAGAACATTACTGGCAAGATAAATGCAAGATGTACCGGAACTGCTCGGATGAACCGGAACAGAGCCAACATATATCATCCTAGACAAACGCAACATCAACCATTTACCTTGGTACTTTAGGGACCGACAGGAGGATGCATGTAGAAGCGCTTATTGCCTGTTAATCCACAGTCAGAGAGAGAAATTGGAACCCATTCCCATCACCAACTGATAAAGAAAGCATGTAAGAAAATTGATATCGGGCCAACTTGGATCTTCGGTGATTGTCCGCCGGTATGGAGAATTTAGGAGGGTGGGTGCAGGGAGTGGCCTTGTGGATGATGGATGGAGGCACGGAGGGATGTGGTTGCCGGAAGGTCGAAAGCAGAGAGGGTCGGGCACGTTAGGTGGAGCCTGTGGTGCGCGACAACCGGAGGCGGCCCAATCGTGGGCGGCGAACCGACGATAGCCTCGGCCCATCTCTCGACGCAGCGAAGATAGAGAGGGCGGCACTGTCAGTGCTCGAGGCCGCCGCTCGGCACCATCTACATCGAGGGGAAAGAGTGGCGAGAAAGCGATAGGGTGATGCGGGGCTAGGGATTGCGGAGGAGGGTGGGGGTGTGCAATTTGAATGGATGGTTCTGCCCACCGTTTTCTTGTACGTGGCGGTGGAGACGGCGGCGTCCAGCCATGCAGGCGAGGCATGGGTCGAGCCGGGCACACGGCGAGGCGCAGTAGCAGAGGCGGGGCCAATTTTTTGCTACTGAGATGCATGGTGTGGGATTGATCGTTCATGTTCTCTTTTCCTTTTTTAAAGGGAGATGGATGCGATTTTTTCACGAGGGGAGAGATGCGACCACGTACATATTCCATAATAAATTAATTAGGTCCATAACGGGAATTCTTTACAATGTGTTAAGATTTACGTGTTAGTTTTCTTAATAAAGAAATGCACTGATGTAGGGATCGATCGATTCGGGTAAGGAAAGATAGATTCGTGATCTTTTGTATGTTAGGAAATTAGTGATTTGCAAGGAAAGAGTGGAGAGAAAAAGAACCAATGCGACCACGTATAGATTCCATAATAAATTAATTAGATCCATAACTGAATTTGTTTACAATGCGTTAAGATTTACATGTTAGTTTTCTTAATAAAAAAATGCACTGATGTAGGGCGCGATTGGTTCGGGTAAGGAAAGATAGATTCGTGATCTTTTGTATATTAAGAAATTATTGGTTTGCAAGGAAAGAGTGGAGAGAAAAAGAACCAGTGAAGGTGGGAGGAGGACAAAAATAAACCGTACGAGGCTACCAGCTGCTCCATTAGGAGTAGAGATTGTTTGTGAAAATAACATGCGACGACGACTTAGCGAGCGGATCCCCTTAAAAAAAACATAGCGCGCAGATTCCCTTAAAACTGGTAGGAATGGATACGATTGATGACGTTGATAAATAGTGGTGAATGTTGGCCTAATTTAATATCATCATACATGGAAACGAATCATCAAGAAAAAGAATCCTTCCTATTACTACACTCATAGGAAGCTTTCTAATCTCTGCTACCAAACAGTTTCTGCCCAAACAAGGAAGGAAAGTTATTGACGTGATTCGAAAGGAAACAAACGTTATGAAGATTAATTAATTTAGATTTGATCTTTAGAGATTGATTGTGATTGATTCTTTTACATAAAGACATTATTAAATAATTTGCGTCAGTATGGAAAGTTCTGATCCGTTCAGTTTTTTCGTTGTGTGAGAGGGTGAAGTGAAAATAAACCGATGAAGTGGGGGAGGCGATGAAAAAAATCTACGACGGTTAACCTACGAAAAAAAACCGGACGAAAGTGGTGGGACGAAAAAAAACCTGAAAGCGAGATTACCAACTGCTCCATTAGGAATAGAGATCAAGGGCGTGTGTGCATCATTAGCCTGGGTGATCTGTAGCGCGCTGGCCGAAAACGTGTAGCACTTGGCGCCGGTGGCCTTGTCCAGCTGCATGCGCTGCAACGTACGTAGTACGTAGGAACACACACACAAAAAGATATATTTAAGGCGACAAGGCTAATCGAGCTGAAGAACCGCATTCGAGGAGTAAGGCACGTACCACATACTTGCCCGGGAGGAGGGCCGGTTCGTCGGAGAGGCGCCGGAACATCCCCTTCTTGGTCGACGGCGGCTTGCGGGGGAGCTCCCTCTTGGCGAACTGCGGGAGGTCGCGCGCCAGGAGGCGGGACCAGACGGTGTCCGAGTCGGCGGCGGCGTGGAAGGCCCGGGACACGGCGGTGGCGTGGATGGCGCCCGCCGGCGACGTGAGCGATATCACGTGCACCAGGAGGTCCTCCGGCAGGCGCTCGATCTCGCAGGCGGCCGGCGCGTCCATGGTGGTATGTAATGTGATGTGGAACTGTGAACTCCAGTAGAGAGAGACGTATATATAGAAGGCAGCTGGAGCTTGGAGGTGGTAGCGCTCGGAACCGTGCATGCTACGTAATGAAATTATTTGGGGATTGGAAGCTGTACCAAGAAACCACGCAGACGTGCATGGTACGTAAATGCAGTTTGGTGCCTATTTGACGCTTGCTGCGTCTAACTGCAGCGCGGGCGGCCAGCCTATTGGCGCTTGAAGTGTTTTTTTTCATTCTTTTGCGGGGTACCTGTAGCGAACAAACTACAGCAGCATGGTCAATTTGATAACAAGTTTCGAAAAAGGTGGAAAAATGAATTTTGTGAACTTTTTTTGAGAACCAAGAACGTTCTTTGAAAACGCAAACAGTTTCTTTGAAAATTTTGAAGAAAAAATTCACAAAGAGTGAACATTTTTAAATTGGGAACATTTTGAGAAAAATCCAAATACTAAAATTCCCGAAAAAAATTTAATCTGTGAACTATTTTGGAAAAGAGATTTTCTTAAAATGTTAAACAATTTTTGAAATATGAACATTTTTTTAATCTGTGAACAAAATTTTAGAATCCTGAACATTTTTTAATTTCCAAACATTCTTTCTTCAAATATGAAGATTTTTTGTAAAGTCATGAACATTCTTCTGAATGTGGTGATTTTTTGAATAAAATAAAAAAGAGAAAGAAACAGAAAGAATGAAAATTAAAAAGGAAACCAGAAAACCAGTAAAGAGACACAACAGACTAAAGAAAACCGGTTCATGAACCTTCTAAAAAGTTCCCCGAAACCAGGCAGGAACTTTCTGGGAATGGATTTCCAGAACTGGTTCCTGTAGACTCTGTAGTTTATAGGGCATCTACCAAATGGGACAGCCGAATGCAGTTTGATCGGTCGCTATGATGTGCAAAAACAGGTGTAATATTGCCGCAGAATGAGCAGTTGGGATTTTCCCGATATCACTATCGTCCTTGGTGCAAAAGATAACCTGGGAGTTTATCATTTTTCTGTAGATTAATTTATTCAAAAAAAAAATCTCTTCAACCACGCATCCAAATCCCAAACCATTTTAACTATTAGATTTCTCACGGTGAAATCTTTGAACTAGATCACATGTTAATGGGGTTTTGTGAAAAAATATCAAGATACCTGGTAAAAATTGGAAATAGATAAAAAAACTGGCAACCTAAAAAAACAAATACAAAAACTGGAAGAAAAAACTAGAGGCCGGAAACACGGTTGTGGTTTTTCACCTTTTCCCCTTTTTGAGAAGCAAAGCAATGCTTCCCGCGACAGCAAATCTATGTTTCGATGAGAAACAAATCCGTGTTTCTCATGGAAGCACAATTTTTTTCCCAAGTGCTTCTTGCTGAAACAAATCTGTGTTTTTCATTAAAGCACACATATTTTTTTCCTTTTTGAGAAGCACAACTCAGGGAATAAATATGTGCTTCTCGTGGAAGCACGAATTTCTTTTCTTGAGAAGCACACTTGAAGAACAATTTTCTTCTGAAAAGCACAACTGTACTTCTCGCGGAAGCAAATCTATGTTTTCATAAGACGCAAATATGTGCTTCTTATAAAAGCATTTTTCTTTCCTTTTTGAAGGAGCACATCAGTGGACAAAAAAAATATCTTCAAAACCTGGGGAAATCATATGAAAAGCTTAAAAAATCCAGAAAAAGACCATCTAAATCTTGAAAACACACCCACACAAAAATATCTTGAAAACACATACGCTAAAATAAAAAGCGAAAATCGAGAGGGAGCACCAACTCGTGACAATGGTTGGGTGCCTCACTTGAGCACGCTCTCTGGGCACAAAAAATGGTCCTTGCGGGAGCCCGGCAAGGGGTAATCTACAACCAGGTGGAGTATTCTCAAGTACGGGTCAATTTTGTCTACCAAGTTAGCCAGAGGAAATGCCGGCCACTGATGCACTTCCATGGCCGACGGATGCACAATTTCTATCAAAGTCGCTCCCATCTGTGTGGCTTCAATACACCCAATGACGAAGCTTCGGTAGGGCCAAGGCACAATAGCCCAAAGTATTACGACAAAGTTTACACGATATATAAAGGGGGCCAATGCCCCCTCCCCCAGGTGGCTAGGAGTAGAAAGCTAGAGAAAATGTTCTTTTCAAGAACAAGGGTATGCTTGAATTGCAAATCAACAAATTTGTCTTAACAGAGCCACCGTATGTATATGCAGCACGAGTCAAATCAAGTACTTCATGGTATTACGAAGGGATCAAGACACAGTTATATAGCCATTTTATTCCTGACGAAGGTAACATGCTTGTAGTTGGGTGAAGGTGGAGAAAAGCTAGTCTCCCATGCACGGGAGGCACCGTGCATGCATGCACCGTTGCTTTTGCTTGGAGATCTGATGACATGCATTTATACTGCTCGCAAGTTAGATCTTTCTCTCACCACATGCAAGCACACTCTTCCAACTATGCTCCATCACATCCCATGTTTTTTCATTTTATTTCCAAATTTAAATCTATTTTATCTTTTGAACCAAAAGTAAAATTTATAGTCCGTTTTCATATTTGTGTTTTTGACGACAAGAAATTTGAACAAGACCACTTTTGATATATTTCAACAAATTTTAAAATTTAAATTCTGAAACATGTTGTAAAACATAAAAGTACACGAAACTGGCTATGCTTTGTTAAACACTAGATAAGTTCAAAGTTTTGTTGCAATAAAATCTATTAATATTTACAAACTTTTAGATTACTAAGAATCAGTTTGGTACACATTGGTACACAATGCAATATTATGATATGCAACGGAACATGGAGAGCCATGGTGAAACAATAAGTTTTTTTGTGAATCAAAATGAAACATTATTAAATTCATCGCATGGAATTAATAAATTTGTATGGAACAAATTGGAAGCATGGTGATTTAGTTGTCAAAACATTAATTCCTAAAATATATTCAATATTGGTACTGTTTTAAAGATCTTGTCAAAAAAACACAATCGCGCAAACAGAATGTAAATCAAACTTCTATCAACATGCATTAGGCATCTATTTATTTGAATAAAACTTAGTAGAGAATAACATGTGAATGTATGTTAGGTGAGAGAGAAAACACTATAGCAGCGGTCCCACACAGCAATAAAAACTGTGATGTATGCAGGACACTTATACTGTCCGTCACATGGATAACTATGTATAGTAATTGAATATGAGCATCATAGTCTTCCTCTCAAAATGGGCTTTCGCCCCGCTATATTAATATAACAACTACCCGATACATCAGTGAGTTCCACGCCGGGGCAAACAACACAATCATGCCCAAAAAAGAAAACAAGAGAAAAGAATGCAAGCAACAACGGCTCAATGAAAGCTGCAGTATCCCGCAACCGTTGCGACCATCGAGGGACAGTTTTGCCTGCATATCGAGGCTCCTATATTGATCAAATTCAAAACCCAGAAGTGGCTGAAGCTATTGTTGTTCGTCAAGCGCTCATCATTGTGGAAGATGCATGCTGGTTTTCATAAGATTCACGTGGTCTCCGATTGCTTGTCACTGATGAACAAAGTTCAGGATAGGAGTTTCGATAGGTCCCCTTCAGGTGCCATAGTCCAGGATATTAAAAGTAGGAGCACAAAGTTCTTATCTTGTGTATTTTATCCATGGCAAACGTTGTAATGAGGAGCTCATGTACCGGCAAAATCTGCAGAATTTGATGTTGGGTCCTGTTGGTCTAGTGAGCCATGAAATCAGGGCCATTATTTGTAATGAACATGCTTCTATGTGAATGAATGTAAGGGTGCTGCCCGTTATTTAAAAAAAAAGTAAAAAGTACAGGTGACATGCTTGTAGCTGGGTGGAGGTGGACACTTACCGTCACATGGCCATTTAATAGTAATTAAGTGGAGCAATGATCGTGGACTTCCTATACGCACGATATAGGAATTTTTAGGCTGGTCGTAACGAGTATCATTTTTTTTTTTTGCATTCAAAACTCGACAGCTTTATTCAGCAAAATAACTCCTAGCATTATCAGCCAAGAGGCTAGTGAGCAGGAAAGGTGGTCTATCATCAGTCCAACTTTTGGTGACCGTCAATGTGTTAGCTCGCTTTGCACAAATATGGGCCGATACATTGGCTGGCCTCATTACATGTTGAATACAAAAATAAGCAAAAGAGGAAGCTAGCTCTTCAATTTCTACTAGTATCGGTGCCACAACAGACCGACTATTGTGACGAGAATTTCAGAGGTTCACCACCTTTAGGCAATCAGTTTCCATTATCACATGAGAGAAACCACGAAGTTTGGCAAAGATGACTCCATCTCTCAATGCTAGCTCTTCAATTTCTACTAGTATCGGTGCCACAACAGACCGACTATTGTGACGAGAATTTCAGAGGTTCACCACCTTTAGGCAATCGGTTTCCATTATCACATGAGAGAAACCACGAAGTTTGGCAAAGATGACTCCATCTCTCAATGCTAGTGTCTCACCGATGAAAGGATCCGTGACCCCATGGTGGGGTTTTGACCATGCACCCAGCAAACTGGTGTTGGAGCGAGCAACTCCTCCCGCACCACATTTGTCCGTGTCCATACACATCGCCGCATCAGTGTTAACCTTTATGACACCTGGATCAGGGGGTCTCCACCCATAGCCTGGCATCACTGACGCACACGACCGCGGTATCTCCAAGACAGCCAAGTCTTCCTTGATGCGCCGAATCGTTGTAACCGGATCGAGCCTGTCACCATCATGTGTAATTCTGTTCCTGGAATGCCATATCGCCCACATAACGGAGATCATCTGCGACCTCTGTACATATGTGTACTTGTCATCACACAATATGTCTCGCGACCAAGTTCCTGGGTGTAGACATGGCCGGACTACACCCAGCCATGAATAAGCCTCTGCCCAGAACATCTTTGCGTGCGAGCAATGCACTAGAGCGTGCATTAAATCCTCGTCCATAGCAAAACAAACTTTGCAT